AGTTTTGCTGTCACACCTTATATTGCAAAAGTTATGGCCACAGTGTGTGGTAAGTGCTTAGCTAAGATGAAAAAGGCTAAAAATATCTAATACTCTGATTTTTAAATGGCAAAAGATCTGAATACACGTCTCAAAAGAAGGCATACAAATAGCAAACGAGTATATGAAAAAATGCTCCACATCAGAGAGATGCAAATCAAAACTATAAGGAGATATCATCTCAACCCAGTTAAAATTTATCCAAAATACAAGCAGTAACAAATGACGGAGAGGATGTGTAGAAAAGGGAACGCTCACACACTTGTTGATGGGAATGTAAATTAGTACAGCCACTATGGAAAACAGTATGGAGGTCCCACAAATATACTAAAAATAGAAGTATCATATGATACAGCAATCCCATTGCTAGGTAAATGCCCCCCAAAAATGAAATCAGTATATCAAAAAGATATCTGCACACCCATGTTTATTGCAGCACTAGTAACAATAGCCAAGATTTAGAAGCAAACTAAGTGTCCATTAACAGATGAATGAATAAAGAACATGTGGATAAAGAAAAGAACTATTCAGCCATAAAAAAGAATGAAATCCTGTCATTTGCAACAATGTGGATGGAAACAGAGGTCATTATATTCAGTGAAGCAAGCGAGGACAGAAAAATAAACTTTGCATATTCTCACTTGTTTGTGGGAGCTAAAAATTAAAACTGAACTCATGGAAATCGAGTAGAATGATGGTTACCATAAGTTGGGAAGGGTTGTGAGGGGAGCAGGGGTAGGGAACGGACAGGGTTGATGGATACAATATTTGGTTAGAAAGAATGAATGAGAACTACTATTTGATAGCACAACAGGGTGACTATAGTCAATAATAACTTAATTGTACATTTTTATTTTTTATTTTTGAGACAGAGTCTTGCTCTGTCACCTGAGCTGGAGTGCAGTGGCACAATTTCGGCTCACTGCAACCTCCGCCTCCCAGATTCAGCCTCCCAAGTAACTGAGATTACAGGTGCCCGCCACCACACCCAGCTAACTTTTTTGTATTTTTAGTAGAGACGGGGTTTCGCTATGTTGGCCAGGCTGGTCTCAAATTCCTGACCTCGTGATCCGCCTGCCTCAGCCTCCCAAAGTGCTGGGATTACAGGGGTGAGCCACCACACCAGCCAACTGTACATTTTTAAATGGGTATAATTACACTGTTCACAACACAAAGGATACATGCTTCAGGTGATGGATAACCCATTTACCCTGAGGTGATTATTTGGCATCGTATGTCTGTATCAAAATGTCTAATGTACACCATAAATATATATATGCCTACTATGTACCCACAAAAATTTAAAACATTTTTTAAAATATGGAAAAGGGATTACTGTAACTATGTACAGACAGAGAGGTGAGGTGGTGAAGGAAGAAACTATGCGAAGTATAGAACTAGCTTGAGTAGCATCAAGGGACATTATCTCCTCTAGCAAGTGAAAGAAATCTGCAGAAATTAGATTGCTGTAGCTGTTTCAATGAAGAAAGGTTAAAGAAATGTCTAACATTTTTGTGTGGTGTATGCTTTTGTCAGGTTGGATAAAATAAAAAGTTAGACTTTCAGCAGATAAGACCAAGGGTCTGACCCCATGTTGTAGTAAAACTTGCAGGGATTTCTCCTTACTAGGGTGCAGTGTGTTCACACTATAATTCCCCTTTCGGTCTTCACTTAGAAATGCTTTTATTTCCATTATAATTTCTGAGGATGTGACCACATAATGTCAATATGTTATCTTGGTATAGAATTTCAATGTATTTGATAAACTGTTTTAACAATTCTTTTCATCACAAGCTTAGCAGGTATTGATGTCGCATCTCTTAATTCCTAAGACAATTAGGAGATAAGGCATCAATACTTGCTATGCTCGTGATTATTGGAGAGATGGATGGTAGCCCACAGTGAGGTCAGGAAATATTGTTGGAATTAAATATTTGACAAATCAAAGTGTGTGGTTAGGCAAACCCATATAAGACATTCAAACTATGTTCAATAAAAAGGTTCTGGACAGAATTTTACGGTAAATTTTTAGAAGAGCCTTTTATGGTTTGGTTTTTGCTGAAGTGGGGCACTTTAGACATAATACAGTGGCAAGTGATTTTGTAAGGGACTTGCTTACCTCATTACATGACACTCTTCAATTAACTGTTACTTGGGATCTTTTATGAACACCTCTTATCTAACTGGCTATTTCAAGTGTGCCTTAGGAAAAGGAAACAAGGCAGCTGGACTTTCACAGCTTTTATTCCCTTCTCTGTCTTAACATTTCTGGCAGGAGAAGGAAGTGAGCCAAGGAATGACTTGAAGTGGAGAGGCTCTCAGGAAGATGGGACCAGTTTATAGTAAATGTGCATTTGGCCTTCAGATAAACACCATGGTAAGGGTAAGAGCTCCAGTATACTGCAAGGATGCAGGTTTCATCGATCTATCTTCTTTTGGCATTTTTGTTATTTCCTCCCAAAAGGATTCTTGCTTTTCTCTATAGGCTACATAGGAAGTTGAAAAAGCTGGAAAAGCAATTTTCTTTTCCTCTCCCTAACCATTTCCCTGCTTTGACACAAGGTCCCTGCTTTGTTCTTGGCAGGGAGGGACAGGGTTGGGGTGGGCCAATCTCTGAGGCGACCCTCTCCCCCTCCAGTAAACTAAGGCAAGTTCATTTTAACAAGAAGCTAATTAAAGACCTAGAAATGCTTTTAACAATTAACTATATTTTCCTTTAGTAAAAAAAAAAAAAAAATTCAGATTGAGCTTATGGACTCTAACAAAATATTTTCACCTTCGTGTCAGTCTGGACTTCCTCTATTAGAATGAATTTATCTACTGAAAATGATAACACAGAGAATGAGATATTTCAGCTTGGTTAGTTAGCACAGCTATTGTCTTCTAATCTTAAATGGCCAATTTAATAATAGTTCTTTTTTTTAACCCTCTACCAAAAGTAATTTTAATTGTCTGCCTTTTTTACATGGTATTACCATACTGTTATCAAAAGAACAGTTTTACAAAATATTTTGAATTAAAACAATTTCGAAAACATCTAATGTTTTTTCATTTCTGTTGTAGAAAGCTGTCTATAGTGTGCCTGAGCCTTTTTTAGGTAGTAGACAACTCAACTGCTAGCTTATGCTTCCGCAAGCCCTCTTGCATACTGGACTCCCCAGTAAATATATGGGTATTTCTTTTCCATCCTATGACATAGCTTGTTGTTTATGTGCAGCCACTTGACTTGCTAGAGGATCGAGACAATGAACAAGCAATATAGTCTTGGTGACGGAGATTTTTCCTACACAGGGTATTCTTATTTCTCTTAAAGTTATGCAGTCAGGTTTTCAGAACAGCAGTTCATTACATTATGAGGAAAAATATTGAGGCAGCAAAATATAATCTAATATATTCTAAGAATTTGCTTTTGATGTATATTACAAAGCATTAGAGTAAATATTTCTAAAGAATTTTTAAGAATCAGACTTTTTCTAATTTTTGATATGAAACCATATCCTGTAAATTAATATGTAACTTTTAGTTGCAGTAATGTGGCATTTTTTTTTTTTTTTTTTTTAGTAAACAAATGAGGTAGCGCACTGTCAACCTGGATAACACCAGTGCTGGTGAGAGTACAGGGAAACAATCACTTTTGCACACTGCTAATAATGACTCCTCTCCCAGGATGATTTGTGTCAGGCGTCTTGGATTCTGCATACTCTTTGACCTAATCTTATGAGTTAAGCATTATTATTCCATTTGTAAAGAAACTGAAATTCAAAGAGACTAACTTTCCAAGGTCATATAACAAATTAGTGGCGAAGCTGGGATTCAAACTTCCATCTATCTGATCCAAAGCTTACATGTAACTTCTACACCATAAATCTCATTCAATAATGTAGGATTTGTTTTTGAAGTTTTACACAATGAAATAATATGCAACAATTTAACATGTACAAGAATGTATAATGACACAGAAAAATGTTTGCAAAATCATAAATAGCAAATGTAAAATTAAAAATTATCATTTTAATTTCATTAAAGATACATAAATATCGAAATAAAACAGATATGGGCTGGGCATGGTGGCTCACGCCTGTAATCCCAGCACTTTGGGAGGCCGAGAAGGGCAGATCACCTGAGGTAAGGAGTTCGAGACCAGCCTGACCAACATGCAGAAACCCCGTCTCTACTAAAAAATACAAAATTAGCTGGGCGTGGTGGTGCAGGTGCATGCCTGTAATCCCAGCTACTCAGGAGGCTGAGGCAAGAGAATCACTTGAACCTGGGAGGCGGAAGTTGTGGTGAGCCGAGATTGAGATTATGCCATTGCACTCCATCATCCTGGGCAACAAGAGCTAAACTCCGTCTCAAAAAAAAAAAAAAAGAAAAGAAATAAAAGAATGTGTGATATATATATATAGATGCATATATAAAAAGACTGGTGAGATCACAAATAACTTATGTTCTTCATTTTATTTATCTGTCTTCCCTAAACCATCTACCTTTGTATTAAAAATTGTCCTTTTAAGAACGTTCAATTTCAGTTATCAAACTGTAAACCTACAATTTTAAGACATAATCTACTTTTATTTTAAAAGGTATATGAAAAAGAGAAATAATATTAATTTTAAAATAGATTACTACAATTCTCTAGTGGTCCATCTTTATTGCTTCTTACGTTAAGTCTAAACATTACAATTTTCCTAAGGTTGTTTACATTGCAATTGTATAGCAAAAGGAAAGAACTATAGAGAAATTGAGCAAGGGGACAGCAAGAACCCCTGGAGCTACTACTAACTGGCCCTTCATTTCTGGTGCGAGTATGCTCCATGCTCTAATCCTCTAAGCATGCACTAAATTTTGTGACTTAAAATTAGACTACAGCATGGTCCAAATGAGGGGCTCCACAGGAAAAAGAATATCAAGAACTCATGTTTATTTACTGATAATGGATAAGGATGGGAAAAACAAAGACCTGCTAACTTTCCCATGTTGATCTTCACTAGGAAAACTGCTCAGCATGTTTGTTCAGTCTGCAGTTTCTTTCCACATGACTTACAAAATGTTATTTGAGCGTGAATGGAACCCCCTGAGTAATGTGACTGACTCAAGAAGAGCCAGTTCATGCAGATATTAGCCTACAGTTCTATCCCAGTAAAGAGAATATTCTTGTTGGATTTGTGGAAAGGCTCTGAGAAGAAGAAACAGACATTAGTGAGAATTTCCCTTAGATAAAAAAGGCTTTAATTTAAAGAAATCCTGCTCAATTATTTCCCCAACCCACCCCCAAATATCATATATGAGTAATTTAGGATGGAAATTGGAAACCTTGCTTTTTGTCAAGAAATTTTTTTCCTGCCAAATTTCTCATTGTTATAATGCAAACATATATATTTAATGGACAGGCCAAATCTTCCTCCTACTTTCTTTCTGGGTAAAGATTGGTTCAGTTCTAGTTAGAGTCAACGACTGTTACTACACCCTTTCCACAAGTTACTGTACACGGTAATTGTACACAGTGCTTTATTTGAATTTTGCTGCTTTTCTAAGTATTATATGTACATCATAGACAATTTTGAAAATACCAAAAAGCCCAAGGAAGATTACAATCACCCATAATCCCATCACTCAGAAAAATACCCTTGTTACTAATAGTAAAAATTACTAAGTTAGTTATTAGTTTAAAGGGTAGAGTAAAATGTCAAGAACACTTAAGCAGAAAATTTTTTTTAAAACTAAGGAAAAAGTAAAGGCATTTAAATTTGCTTTCAAATAAGGAAAACATTACCTGTCCACAAACATGTTTTCCAGATTCATTTCCTCCTTGAAAGTATCCACGTAGAATAAATGGGATCGAGACTGTAGTAGTCAGTTCTCTTGCCTAAACTCTATGCTCACTCATACCTGTGGTTGTTACTGTATAAAACAGGAACGTTTTTTAGCAGTCAGGCATATCCATAAAGATTACTAATCACCAAATTACAGGAATACTTTACAAATGAACGAAAGGCTAGGCAAACTGTTACCAAAATCTATTACTTGTTATTTCTACTGAATTTCCGATTTTTCTCTAACTGCTAAAGAGATTTTTTTTCGCATGTGAAATTTAATAAGCACTTTCTGCTACCAATTTCCAACAGAAAACTCCATACAACCACAGCATAAAAAACTGACAGTGGCTAAAAAGAGACATACTCAGCAGTCATCTGAAAAAGGCCAAAGAACCACCCAAAGGACTTGAGTAGATGATATTATTTTAGTGTAGGAAGTCTATTTGGTGTACAAAGACTGTTTCTAGGAATGACATGTCTCACGTGACCTAGGCTCTGTGAGAGTAAGGGTTTTGTGGACAACTATTTCTGGGAAATGCTTTACAGTACATATTCTTCTTGAGCTTATTATACACTAGCATAGTAAGGGTTATGAGCAGTCAAGAAAACACAATTCACCTTTACTTCAGACAATGTTTCCCAAACTTCTTTGACCTTGAATCCTTTGGAGGCATAACAATATTAACAACTCAAGATACTCAGGAATTGAGGAACACATTTTACGAATGCCATCTTAACGAATATATTGTCCAGGATCTTCAGCCATATTAATAATCCTGAGTTAAGCAAGCTCAACAATGCTCATTCCTTTATTTAAATATATACAGACTGAATTTGCATGATTTACCATTATAAGTATTTACTTTAAAAAAATCAACATATGGCCAGGCACGGTGGCTCACACCTGTAATCCCAGCACTTTAGGAGGCCGAGGCGGGCGGATCACGAGGTCAGGAGATCGAGACCATCCTGGCTAACACGGTGACACCTCATCTCCACTAAAAATGCAAAAAATAGCCAGGTGTGGTGGCACGTGCCTGTAGTCCCAGCTACTTAGGAGGCTGAGGCAGGAAATCACTTGAACCCAGGAGGCAGAGGTTGCAGTGAGCTGAGATCACGCCACTGCACTCCAGCCTGGGCAACAAGAGCAAAACGCCATCTCAAAAAAAAAATAAATAAATAATAATCAACACATATGAGTAAATTTTAAGGTATGTAAATAATATCTCAATACAGCTTTTTTTTTAAGAAACCTTTTTTAAGAAACCACTGTGTTGGGTTTCAGAAATACTTTAAAGTAGAGTTACTTAGTGAACATGACATCAGAACAAAAGTATGATAGTTTTAACTAGTATTTTAAGCTAGCTAAGGTGACTCATTCCTACATGATAAGAGAAGATACATCTACAGTTACTGTGTGTTCCAGACTCTAAGCCTCTCTCCCAATCCTACCTCTTCTAACTTTTTTTCCCAAATGTTCTGGCTAATGCTTATAAATTCATCTACTTAAATTCCCCTAATAGTACAAAAGTAAACACATACTGCAGGGTGGCAAAGAACAGCAGTAGCCATAGTCCAAAACAGCCCACTATGTATGTAGTCTTTTACCTAATGTTCTTCCAGGTTTATATGTGAAAAAATATTTTAAGAATTGCAAAGATTAAAAGTTTCGAATTCTAAATCTTCAGGTATAACTGCTATATAAAGAATATGCGTTATACATTTATCTGTGATATTATATGGTCTAATACACATCAAATATAATCTATTTGAGAAAAAAGCCTCAAAGCTAAAAATCTCCCTTCTAATCTTACTATTGTTTTTCTAGAAGTAAAAATTGACAAAGTTGACATAAGTGCTAAATCTGAATCATACTCCATGCATCCCTTTGAGAGTTGATACAAGAAAAGATCATCTCATTTGTTGCCATAGATGGATTATACCAGCTAAATAAATTTCAATGGTCACTTTTAGTTTATCTCTTGGTTCACATAGAAGTATCATAAAAAGAAATGAAGATGATACTTTTTAATATGCAAACCATTTATTGAACTATTTACTATTTTAAAATGTAGTTCTTCAAAGAGGCCACAAAAATTATAACATTCAGAAACTTTCAGGTAAACTCCAAAGGTAAAGCTTTTTTTTTTTTTTTTTTTTTTTTTTTTATATATTTGTTTTTTTTTTTTTTAATATTTTTTTTTTTTTTTTTTGGTAGTCAATTTGTACCAGGTTTACAAGCAAGAGGATACTTCTTTAGAGACTTTCAGTTGACTTAAACTCAGTTTCCACTAGTGCCATGTAAAGCATCCACGATGGTTTTATTGTATTCTGCAATCTGCTTGGTCACATTTTTCATAATTGGTCGGTAATCACTCTCTTGACTCTTGGTGGCTATGACTAATTACATGAGTTAAGGGAGAAACAATGTCAATAAAAATCTAACTGTTGCAGGGAAAGGAGCTAAATAATACTGATATTTTTTCATACTAAAGATGGTACAAAAAAGCACAATACTTTAAAATAGAGTATGTTACTTTAACAGATTAAGCATCAATTAAAACCTAAAATGCCAAGCTAAACTTGTCTCAAAAAATTCATATGCAATATAAACACTTTTTAATAGTTAATATGTTATACATTTTAATCTAACTCTGGTCTTAATCTGTTATACATTTTAATCTACTGGTCTTAGAACAATCTAATATTCAATGAACTAGTTCCCACATTCAACACACATACACATACCATGTTCTCTAGAGTACCACAAAGAATTTAAGGTAAATCTCTAGACTTCACTCTGTTCCAAAACCACCTACTTTATGTTGTATAAAACTAGAGTTCTAGACTTAAAGCATATTGTAAACGAGTCTTCTGCTTTTAAACTAAGTTTCACTACCACTGGCAATAGGGCAACTAAAACATCTTATCTGGAGGTAAGCTGGGGTCCAGGCTGCTTTTGAGCTGAAGTTCAGCACCAGCCTAGAAGAGAACCTAAGCTGCCACTGAGTCAGGATCTAGTTCTTCATGCAGAGATGCCCTTGAATGGGTCGCAGAAGGGAACAGGAAACAAGTTTTAAGAAAATATTTGTTACAACTCCACAATACCTTCTCTCAACAGCTGCTTGCTGCTTCCTATAATCACACTAAAAGTAAACAATAAGATGAAACATAACTTATTTGTAGATATAAGATGAAGTTGAATTGGCTGAAACATGGATGAACCTGGAAATCAAACTTCCCCAGTCTAATATGGTTTATTCCCCTTTGCTGACCAGATATTCAAGGCAGAACATTATAAACAAACAACTATATTTTATATAAATGTGTATATATACTTAAGATATATATAATTCTCCCAACAACACTATGAGAAGGACATATTAACTATAATTTAAAGATTTTGGAGATGATACAATTCTGAGGCCAAGAGCAGTGGCTCATGCCTCTAATCTCAGCACTGCAGCAGGCCAAGGTGGGACTGAGCCTAGAAGTTCGAGACCAGCCTGGCCAAGTTGGCGAGACTCCTGTCTCTAAGCAAAAAAGAAATTCTTGCCATGTTTACCAAATGACTTACTGATAATGTTTTAACTTTACCCAAGCCCTGTGATCCTGGAAAACTGAATCTTAATAGATGATACAGTTCTGGCTTGAACAGTAAAATTGTTCAAAGTCTATAACTTATAAGTAGTAGAGTTAACATTTAAAATTGGATCTCCTGACTCCAAAATCTGGGCACTTTAATCACTATGCCACAGTAAGTCTCTGTTCTCCTTTTTTTTTTTTGGCAATTCCCAATGTCTGCTTTCTATTAGTTCCTTTAGGGTACACACACATACACACACACACACACACACCCCTTAACTACTATAGAGTTGAAACAGTCGTATTCATTTAATTTAGCTCAGTGTTTTATACATATTCAGTATTTAATGTGTTGAACTAAATTTGAGTCTTTAAAAAAATTCCTAGAAAAAAAGTAACTCAGTCAACTTCATTTTCATCTTTTTAAAGGATACATTCTTTCATCACAAAATTATTTTGCTCATGGTGTTGCCACTTTCTCTCCAAATTTGTAAGCTAAAAACATAAAAGAAAAACACTAATAAGTACTCATATTTAAAACAATTTTATGCCCTTCTAAGAGGAAAAGACAAAAAAAAATCACTCCAACTTTAAATCTTATCAACTTGCATTTTACTGAGATAGTCATGGCAGAAAAAAAGATTAAATAATAATAAATACATTAATACAGTGATGAATTCTATAACATGTTTTACTCTATTTTAATTATACAATATTTTAAATGTTTATTATACCAATGAATATGCCAACTGAAAGATAATTTATGACTTTCCTTTCCCTAAAACAACTTTTAAAAGAAAAATGGAACCCGATGGGAATCTCTCCTTGAAATCTGGAAGTCTAATGCCACAAATATCATATATATTCAAACACTGTCAAAAGTTGAGCCATATAGGAGAAACTTCCTTATTTCCAGGGCTAAATTTCCTGTCTAATTCCACAAGCTGTGATAAGAGCAGAGCTGCAGTGTGAAGATTATAAGACAGCTTGTAAAAAGCTGGCACTGTTACAATAATTTCTGCATCAACAGGAAGCTAATGTGGATATTATATTGATGGTTACTTCCTCAGAAGACAATTTTACTGTTATAGTATTAAATTGTTTTTCTGATTTAATTAACCTTGTAACTCTGGGTTACGGTCTTTCTTTTTTAAGATGCACATAGTTTTTTCCAAAGCAAAGGACCATCTAAAAATTGAAACACTAATGTTCTGCCTGGATATTTCAAAGAATGATTATTTTAAAAAATTCAAATAATTGAAGCAGCAGCAGTAGTAATGTTTCTTTCTATCGTCATGTTAAAATAATTTTCAGGACATAAGTTTGGCCTTGATGTAGCACCCATCTCATTGCTTCCTCCAAAGAGATAAATCTATACATTAGAATAAATCATGGTTAATTAACCATGTGATTGTATGTGCTGTGAGCTAATATTACTAAATCACATCAATCTCCCCCAGACAGGACCCTGAAGTTAAGATGGACTTAAGGAAGCAGTCAGCACTTCTGGCAGTAAGTCTCTAATAGCCTTCAGCAAAGTCAAGTACCAGACTTTTTTGTCATTGTTTCACACAAACAGGTGGCCTTCTTATTATGCATCATACTTTTCTTAAGTGCTACAGGAATGGTATAAAAGCAACGCTATGTCAGATGGTCAAATTCCTTTTACATTTATACCTTTATATTACTGACTCGCCTATAAACCTCCAAGGACATCATGAAGCAAAAATTCATTTTGAATATCTGTTTTTCCCGAACTTATTTAAATAATCTGTTACATAAAATTCTTTATAGGTGCCAAAGGCCAGTTTTCAAGAAAATAGTTGTGAAAGATAGGAAGACCAGGATTTGATTTAATCAGTTGGGATTCACAAAAGGTAACAATACAGAGGATTCAAAATTGTGGCTTATGTTATGATTTCCAGTTATCAATACATGGAATTAAGAATGCAATTAGCACCTAATGTGGGAATAAACATGGTAACCAGTCATTGGCTCAAAGAAATGGTGTTTGTCAAGTGCTTTCCACCTTAAATCATCTATTCAGTGAATGAGGAGGACCAATATTTCATAAGAAATATCAGTATTTTTTTCTAAGAACCATTCAAGACAATAACCTCACGAACTTTGTCTTGTTTCTTCTCCAACACTCATACTCACTCTAAACAATCTAAGAAAATTTTGCCACTTGTAACTCTATATCTAGGTTTGTATATTGTGATATAGAAACAGAATAACTGGTAAATTTGAATTATGTAAATTAATGATTTCTAAGCTTTTAGTAGTTGTAACAAGCTTTCATGAGATTCTACCCTTTTCAAAAGAATGTAAGGTATATGTTGTTTTCAAAGGTACCTCCATACAATGAAATAGGTAATGCTGCATAAATGTCACCAAAAACCAGGCATGGCGGCTCATGCTTATAATCCCAGCACTTTGGGAGGTCTAGGCAGGCAGATCACATGAGCTCAGGGGTTCAACTCCAGCCTGGCCAACACGGTGAAATCCCATCTCTACTAAAAATACTCATCAGGAGGCTGAGGCAGGAGAATCGCTTGAACCTAGGAGGTAGAAGCTGCAGTGAGCCAAGATCATTCCATTGCTCTCCAGCCTGGGCAACAAGAGCAAAACTCCATCTCAAAAAGAAAAAAAAAGGCTGAGCATGGTGGCTCATGTCTGCAATCCCAGCACTTTGGGAGGCTGAGGCAGGAGGACCGCTTGAGTCCAGAAGTTCAAGACTAGCCAGGGCAATACAGTGAGACCCCATCTCTATTAAAAAAAAGAGTAAAAATTAGCTGGGCCTGGTGGTTTGTGCCTGTAGTCCTAGCTACTTGGGTAGCTGAGACAGGAGGATCGGTTGAGCCCAGAAGCTCAAGGCTGCAGTAAGTTACAATTATGTCACTGGACTCCACCTTGGGCAACAGAGTAAGACTCTGTTGTTTTCTTTTTTTTTTTTTTTTTCTTTGGGTTGGTGTTTTTTTTTTTTTTTTTTTTTTTCTGAGATGGTGTTTCACTCTTGTTGCCCAGACTAGATTGCAATAGTGTGATCTCAGCTCACCGCCACCTCTGCCTCCCAGGTTCAAGTGATTCTCCTGCCTCAGCCTCCCAAGTAGCAGGGATTACAGGCATGTGCTACCACATCTGGCTAATTTTGTATTTTTAGCAGAGATGGGGTTTCTCCATGTTGGCTAGGCTGGTCTTGAACTCCCCACCTCAGGTGATCTGCCCTCCTCGGCCTCCCAAAATGCTGGGATTACAGGCATGGGACACCACGCACAGCTAAGACTGCTTTTTTTTTTTAAAAAAAAAAAAAAAGATTGAAAAAAGTTAAAATGTTGAGACTGTATGAATAGCATGATTTCATTTTTTGTAAAAATGATATGGATGTATGATTGTAAAGAACAAAAAGAAAACAAGGATATGGGACCAAAATGTTAAGAATGGGTATACCTAGGTAGTGGGAAGTCAAATGACATTTTTCTCTACCATGACCATGTAACTATATGAAGAAAAAGAGGGAATTTTTAATGTATTCAGCATTTTAAATCATGTGTGCAAATTTCTAACATAGACTAATTAGATATGAGAATGACCAATCCTTTTCAAGCCATAGTTACTAACTCTGTATATGATACATAATGCTTCATTCAATCACTCAACAAATACTTGCTGAATACCTACTATATGCCAACCAATTGCACAGTGCAAGGAATAAAGTAAATGTTGTCTCTATCCCATCTCAGCCCTCAACCTTGACTTCACACACTGTTCAAGTAATTATCAGCAAGACGAGTGACACGAAAAGGGAGTGCAGTTATGTGTTTATGCATCCTATGTAAATAACTAGAGATATGAATTAAGAAGTTCAAGGATACCTGGATTGCTCTTTATAGCATTATTTTAATAGTTTTAAAACTAGAAATTACCTAAATATTTAATGAAAGGGAATTGGTTCAATAAATTATGCTACTTCCATGTACTAGAATATCATTAAGCTATCAATAATTTTTTAAAAGTCGATATACATATTGACAAAGCAAAGTACTTATGATGTATAGCTAATCATTAAAAACAAGCTCCTAAATAATATGTATAATATGGTACAATTTCTATAAATGCATAGAAATAAATGTGTACCTAAGTATACGCATATATAGGTGTATACACATTATCTCTCTATGTATCTATCTCTCCATCTCTCCATGTATCTGTTTATCTATCTATCTATCTATCTATCTATCTATCTAAACTATCTACGTACCTACCTACTAAAAGGACCCATACTGGCTGGGTGCCTGTAATCCCAGCACTTTAGGAGCCTGAGGTGGGCGGATCACAAGGTCAAGAGATCGAGACCATCCTGGCCAACATGGTGAAACCCCATCTCTACTAAAAATACAAAAAAATTAGCTGGGCGTGGTGGTGCGCACCTATAGTCCCAGCTACTTGGGCGGCTGAGGCAGGAGAATTGCTTGAACCCCGGAGGTGGAGGTTGCAGTGAGCCAAGGTCATGCCACTGCACTCCAGCCTGGTGCCTGGTGATGGAGTGAGACTCTGTCTCAAAAAAAAAAAAAAAAAAAAAAGGCCCATACTAAAGCAACAATAAGCATTCTCCCTTCTGGGTGGTGGGAGAATAGGTCACTAGAACTTATTTTATTTGTGATTTTATGGATTTTTAGTTTCTGTATTAGTAATGTTTCACTTTTGAAATTTTAAAAGATAGTACTGCATATATCATAATAGTTGTGCCTGAGATAGTGTCTAACACAGTTGGCTTTCAATATAGGTTTATAGAAGGTAAGAAAGCAGGAGTCCATTCATTCTGAGTGAAGATTGTACAGAATCTGGCTGTCTTAAAAGTCAGAGAATCTAGAAGGTAGAGAGCAATACAGCAAATTTTAAAATAAAACATAATTGCTTTGGGGTGAAAATATAGACTAAGATAATTTCAAAGTTATTTAAAACATTTCTTACCTGAGAATGGGTCTCATTTTCTTGCAATTGTGTTTTTAGTGCTTCATATTCTATGTTTAGCTTCTCCATTATTTTCTTAAAGGCATTTCTGCGGGTGGATAATATCATTCTCTCCTGATGTAATTTCTAGAAAGATCCAAACAGAAGTAACAGGTTATAGAAAATATGCAGTAAGCCAGTATAAATCATATTTAACTTAATTTCAATAATTATATTCCGGTAAAATTCAACCAAGGCTATAACTACTCTAAAATCGGTTTGTAAAAATTCCTTTGAACTATAAGCTATATTATCTGTATTAATAACTCAATGCTGCCATATCTGTCCCTACCCCACCAAATTTAGTCTAAATTAATGTAAATGGCAATGGAAAGCCACGAGAAGTTTCAGGTAGGATAGAGTCATAATCAAATCTGCATTTAACAAAGCTCAAATTGCTGAAATGCACTGTAGTAGCTTGTGCCTTGCTTTTAAATTTTTGCTTTTCTTTAAAACTTTAAGTCACTCTAAATTCTAACTACATATATAAACATTTTTATTTTTTCTCAGCTTATATATATCAAATAATCAGCTTAAAATAACAAATCCTATCAACCACAAATATATTACATTTGATCAAGAAAAAATATGAATTGTAATTCTGTAAGACTTGGTTAACATTTACCTTTTTCTTTTCTTCACCTGATGATTTTAAAGCTGCCAGATCATTATATATCTCCAGATCACTTGTCATTTGCTTAGTTTTGCTTTTTAGAGAATGTTGTTCTTCAGTCATCTTACTTTCTAGAAGCTCCATTTTCTGCAGATCCAACTGCAGACGTTGACTGTCTAAAACATAAGAATTTAAGGTGATAATAAAAATTTTATTCCTTTCACATAAGGAAATGTAATACAATTATTAAAAATCATGTTTTATAAGAGTATCTATAAAAGAAATATATGTTCACCGTAACCAGTGAGAATATAAATTACAAAAAAAAATACTTATCCCCTCAGTAACCAATTTCAGGTAACCAATATATCAGGGAATCAAGTTAACCTGATGTACATTAGCCACAACTGTCTCCACGCTAATAAACATATAAGTTTTTTTCTTTATTAGTAATACAGTCTACATTATGAAAAAAAGACACCCCCCCCACTTTTTTTTTTTGAGATAGAGTCTTGCTCTGTCGCCAGGCTGGAGTGCAGTGGTGTAATCTCAGCTCACTGCAACCTCTGCCTCCCTGGCTCAGGCGATTCTCCTGCCTCAGCCTCCCAAGTAGCTGGGACTACAGGTTAGTGCCAGCACGTCCGGCTAATTTTTACATTTTTAGTAGAAACAAGGTTTCACCATGTTGGCCAGGATGGTTTCGATCTCTTGATCTTGTGATCCACCTACCTTGGCCTCCTAAAGTGCTGGGATTACAGGTGTCAGTCACCGCACCTGGCCAAGACTTTTTTTTGAGATAGAGTCTTGCTTTGTCACCAGGCGCCAGGCTGGAATGCAGTGGCGCAACCTCGGCTCACTGCAACCTCCGCCTTCCAGGTTCAAGCGATTATCTAGCCTCAGCCTCCCGAATAGCTGGGACTACAGACGCGCGGCATCACCCCCAGCTAATTTTTGTATTTTTGGTAGAGACAGGGTTTTGCCATGTTGGCCAGGATGATCTCGATCTCTTGACCTTGTGATCCGCCCACCTCGGCCTCCCAAAGTGCTAGGATTACAGGCTTGAGCCACTGCACCCGGCAAGACTCATTATTTTTAATAGGAGCATGACACAGATGGTTATGTAGGGAAAAAACAAGTTATAAAACATTATATATATATTTGAGCACAATTTTATAAGTGCACATAGAATCAATTCTTACTATCTGTGGTAATGTCCTATAAAGTTATCGTGGACAACGTGTTAGCAAATACTGGCCTGCTCCTAAGGGAAATACAGGGTTAAGTTCCTGTGAACCTTTAGTCACATTTTAGTCAATTTACCAATACATAATCTTGATTTATGTGTGTTTCTATTTAAAGACATTTTATTTAATATAGGTTGTAGATTCACTAACATTGAACTGTAGCTTATGCCTGAATTAAATTTATCTATCACACATTTTCTATATAAGGCACATTACAGCCTTCTTGTGCTTTGGACACATCAGCACTTTGCTTGGGGCCATTTTAAATAGCATGATCACCAACAAAAAGCACAAAAATGCAAAAATACATAGCACTAAATATACTGCAAAAAGGAAAACTGCTTATAGTATGAGAACAGATACAAGAAGGCAGAGTGTTGCCTTTTTCTACTTCCCTTGGCAATGTGCATGTCAGGCTGTTGAAATTTTTCAGGAGTCTGCCAGTCTGGGCATGTCCACAAATGACCATGAAAATGTTGCAAGTATTGAATTGGGGGTTACAAAGTAACTTCAGCGGGAAGACAAATTCACAAATAAACTATGAATAATGAGGCTAGCTATGTGTATCTCACTCTTTCATTCAAAAATATCAAGCATCTACTATGTGCCAGGTGCTGAGGATATAACAGAAACCAACAGAGACATTGTTTTCACTCAGGGAGCTATATTTTAGAGGTAGAAGCAGGTAGTTAAATAAATGTTTACAATAAACTGTATAAATATGAAAATAGTAGTTCAGGGCGCCATAAAAGCATGTAGCAGGAATCCAGAGAGCTCTCTAAAGACAAGCCTTTCAACTAAAGGCTTAAGGTTTATGAATGCCAAACAAAGAGGAAGGTAAAAAGTGTTTCAGCAAAAACAATCAGCATGTGCAAAGTCTAGAGGTAAGAAAGCATAGTACCTTTGAGCCAGTAACAAGTTCAGCATACTGAATAGTAAATGAATATGAATGAATGTGAAGAGTAAAATACAATGCTTCAAATGTCATTGGTTAAGAGGCTGTTATCTAACCAAAATTTTTAAAGGTAGTATAATTAAGCCAGTATTTCTTGAATGTTTCCTTTTATCCCTTTAAGTTTTAAAAGTCAACTATAGCAACATACATTTAAAAATATATATGTACACATAAATATAAATATGTATATAGCAAGACTTAAATGTTGTTGCAAAGAGTTTTGTTCTGTTGGATTCTTATCTTTACCAAGGTTAGAAATAGTTATGAGAATCAAAGAGCTGAACAAGTGACTAAGGCTTATGCTAGTATAATGCTCTAAATAGCAACTGTTTTGAGCCTGCAGATATTTTGACCATTTGGAGTAAGCAGTGATATAAACCTAACTTGCAAGTTTAATTTGAATATATACTAGGGAAATACATGTAAGAACAATACAAATTGATTTTTCCTGAGAAAAGGAGAAAATGGTTGGTATAGGGTAAAGTTTATCTTCCTTTAACAACAGGTCCCCAATGAAAAGCTAAATGCTACTCCAAGGAAGAGACAGGAAGAGGATGCAGTCTAGTTCCTTCTGATATGCTGTGAAGTTGCAAAGTTTACCAAGCAGTGTGTACATAGTAGCAAAATCTCAGAAGGAACCACTTTGACCTGGGGAAGTGTTTCTAAGATAGTCTGTCATCAGCACATTTGTTTACTCTCTGGAGTTTCCTTTCCAAAAATATAAATAAAAACTATTGCTGATAAATTCCTTGCCTCTTTACCCATGCAGTACACCAGTGTTTCTCAATCTTTTTCTTATATAATCGACTCCCTAAGAACTCGGTTATAGACTTTTTATCCCCCAATCACCTCCCTCCCCCATCACCAATGTATGTGTAGTTATTTAGGTACATTGACCTTTGAAGGTCCATTGTAATATCTAAGTTTTCTTCACCCTTCCCCCAAGAAGCAATTGCTCCATTAAAAGAAAAACAAACGAACAAACATGGAGTACACTAAATCCATTATCTCTAAAAGGTGAACGAGAATATTATAACCCTCTTATGATGCTTTCATAATACAAATAATTTCTTGAGGTAAGGGATGGTGTTAGGGAAATAAAGGAAGAATAAATTTTATGGTTGGTTTAAGTTAACATGAAAATAATATAGTACATCAAATTAATTGTAAGCGTCAAAGAATCTAACCCTTACTAAGAAAAATTTCCAGCAAAATACTTATAGTACTAAATTGGATTTTTATCTCCAATGAAGCCAGTTCTCATTTTTTTTCGAACTGTACATCTCTAGAGAAAACATAATGACTAGTTGTTAAAAAGAAGTCATAATGACTAGTTGTTATAAACACAAAGAGAAAACATAATGACTAGTTGTTATAAGCACAAAGTACAAAGTAAGGAATAAATACAAAGTCTTGATTATTGAATTTGTTTCCTGGTATTGATTTTTGCCTTTTAAAAAATGTACATTTCTCGACAGCTGTTACAGAAAGATAGGTTAAAGGGGGAAAAGCTTGTTGAATTTACACTGACCTTAGAAAAATGAAAAACTTAAGCATGGTTGTCTAAAATAGAAAACAGAGGTATCTAGATGAAATAATAAAACCATAAAATTATTTAGTTTATAGAAGATAGAAAATATTTTTAAATATTCATATATGTCCAAAAGAATTGAAAATAGGATCGTGAAGAAATACTTACAAACCCATGTTCACTGCAGCATTATTCACAATAGCCAAAAGATGGAAGCAATTTCAATGTCTATAGATAGATTTAAAAATATGATATATACATACAATAGAATGTTATTCAACCTTAAAAAAGAAAATTCTTCTTTGCTACAAAGTGGATGAACCTTGAGGACTTTATGCTAAGTGAACTAAGCCAGTCCCGTAACGACAAATACTGTATAACTTCATTTATATGAAGTAATTTAAAGTAGTCAAGAGTCATAGAAACAGAAGTAGAACGGTGATGTCCACTGGTCAGGAAATCGGGAAATATGGAGTAGTTGTTCAGGAGGTATAGTGTTTTAGTTCTGAAAGATGAAAAAGTTCTAGAGATTCGTTGTATAACAATGTACACACAGTTAACACTACCATACTGTACACTTCAAAATGGTTAAGATGATAAATTTTGTTATGTTTTTTACCACAATAAAAATATACTCACAGTCAAACCAATAGTAGATATTTATCAAGAATGTAATTTCTCCAGTTGCTTTGCATATAGACATAAAAATAAAACTAAGGCAAACAAACTCTCAACAAATCTGGATGTAAAATAGGCTTAAATGTATGAAATAACAGCAATTGTATACCTACATCACCACTATTAATGTGATTAATAGCATTCAGTATGCGTTTATAGGTCCATAATCCCTTTTCTAAAACTCTTGGGAAGTTGTATTTCAGAATGCAGAATTCTTTGGATTTTAGAAAAGTAATATAGCACATATACTAATGATTACATAACACCCACAACAGGGTCTGAGGGAATACCTTGTCATCAAGTACACAAAAACTTCGGCAGCAAAAAGCATAAATGGTCACACTAGGTAGGATAATTAAAAACTATATGTAGCCTCATGTCAGTTCAGGTCAGGTTAGGCTGTGCTGCTAGTATCTTTTTAGATTTTGGGAATTCAGATAAAAGTATTATGGATCCATTCTTCCATTTCAAAGATCTTTCTTCAACATTCTTAACAAATGTTAATTAGGACTTCATTTCTCATTATCTCACTAACTATAGCAATTCCAGGTAGATAGAAACATAGCTAATTCAAAGCTGCCACACACTAGCATAAAGAACACCCATAGTTAGAAGCCATTAGTTCATAAACCAAAATTCCATACAAATTTTAACATGACTTTATCCTAGGCTCTTTAAACTCAACTTTGTATATCTGTGTCTAACCTCCACCTGTACCATTCCAATGGCAGCCAGCCATTAGCCACATGTGACTTTGGAGCACTTTTAAGTATACCTAGCCCAGGTCGGGTACAGTTGCTTATGCCTGTAATACCAACACTTGGGAAGGCCGAAGTGGGCAGATGGCTTGAGTCCAGGAGTTTGAGACCAGAATGGGAAACATGGTGAAACCTCATCTCTAGTGAAAACACAAAATATTAGCCAGGTATGGTGGTGTGTGCCTGTAGTCTCAGCTAATTGGAGGCTGAGGTGAGAGAATCACCTGAGCCCAGGAAGTGAAGGCTGCAGTGAGCTGTGATCATGCCACTGCACTTCAGCCTGGGCAATGAGAGTGAGACCCTATAAATAAATAAATAAGGCTAGTCCTAATTGAAATGCTGTGAAGATAAAATACCTCTTTGATCATTTTTATGTAGCCTACATGTTAAAATAATATCTTGGATATACCAGTTTAAATAAAATATATTCGTAAAATTAATCTGTCTCTTTTTACTTTTTCAACATGGCTATTAGAAAATTTTAATTATATATATTATATATCTATTGCCATTACATTTCTCTTGGACAGTGCTGCTCTAGTTGCCCACTAGGGAGCACGGCTGAAACTAATTAAAATTAAACATCATCTCTTGTTAACTATCCAAGACTGGGCTGGATATGTGCCCTATGTACTTCCGTTGCTCCTTATGCTTACTTCTATCATAGCATTATTTCATTGTATCATAACTGTCACTCCACCAGGTTGAAAGTTTCTTGAGGGAAACAGATTAGATTTTTTTTTTAGTCTCTTATACTGATAAAGAGTCAATCCTTGACTAAACTAGCTACCTCCTCTGAGCTCTCTTCTCAACTAGGCCTGAACCGCTGCCTATAAATGTTGCAGACTCTCAGCACAAATGATTTCAAGTACCACCTTCCACCCACGTTAAAAGATTTAAACAAACAGTTTCTACCAGCTCAAGTCTGCATCTCTAGGATGACCCTATTCCTGCTTAAAGTGCCTGCCAGAGAAAGCTCAAGGCTGCCAAAAAAATGTACAATAATAAGCCCGTATCAGTCAACAGGCCCCTGACTAGAGCATCCAGTTGTGAATCTTTCCTCTGTCCCTTTAAGATGATATGTGTATTAGTCTATTTGCATAGCTATAAAGGAATACCTGAGACTAGGCAATTTATTTTTTAAAAAGACGTTTATTTGGCTCATGGTTCTACAGGCTGTACATGAAGCATGGTGCCAGCAACTGCTTCTGGCAAGGGCCTCTGGAAGTTTACAATCGTGGCAGAAGGCAAAGAGGAGCCTACGTGTCACAAGGCAAGAGAGAGAGGGAGGAGGTGCCAGGCTTTTTTAAACAAACAGATCTCACATGAACTCACAGAGTGAGAACATACTTTTCACAAGGATGACACTGATCCATTCATGAGAGACCAACCCCATGACGCTAACATCTCCCACTAGGCCCACCTCCAACACTGGAGGTCACATTTCAACATAAGATTTGGAGGGGACAGAAAAATCCAAACCATATTTATATGCATCTCCCGCAACTCAGGAGTATTTTTCTCAAGGATCTAAAAGCCATTCCATCAAAATGTAATCATCAGGAACGTCAGGACCTCTGTCTGCTAGTCTGTGTATAAGCACAGCATCTTTTTTTTTTTTTGAGATGGAGTCTCACTCTGTCGCCCAGGCTAGGTGCTCCTGTCTCAGCCTCTTCAGTAGCTAGGACTACAGGCGCCTGCCACCATGCCCAGCTAATTGTTGTATTTTTAGTAGAGATGAAGTTTCACCATGTTGGCCAGGCTGGTCTCAAATTCCTGACCTTGTGATCCACCCATCTAGGCCTCTCAAAGTGCTGGGATTACAGGCGTGAGCCACTGTGCTCAGCCTCAGCTTTGTTTAACAATACCCAGGCTATAGCACAGGCATGAAACAAGTATTCAATAAATGTTGTTAAATCAATGACAGTATACAATATAATTCTAGCCAGCTGGTGAAAAAGCCACACAAAATTCTGAGACAACACGCAATCATAAATTATAGCCTCAGTCAACGAGGCTTTAAAAAAATCAAAGAGAATAACATTGATATATTTTTTTAAAAAAGAATATTAAAATTTAGGTTGTTTTCTCACCCGAAGTTAAATTCCGAGCTGTACTTTGTGATTTCTGCACTTCAGCAGATTTAAAATTGAGGTCATCCTGCATCATCTTTAGTTCTTGATTGGTGATAAAGGATATCTGTTTCATACGATTTATATTCTGCATTTGCAGAGAAATAAAAATAGAAAAAAAATCCATTGATTTCCCTCTCAATAAAACCCTTGAAAAACACTGTCAAAGGATGAGATGTTGTGTTTTTTGAGACAGAGGTTTGCTCTTGTCACCCAGGCTGGAGTGCAATGGTTCCATCTCGGCTCACTGCAACCGCCCCCTCCCAGGTTCATGCAATTATCCTGCCTCAGCCTCCTGAGTAGTTGCGATTACAGAAGCCTGCAACGATGCCCAGCTAATTTTGTATTTTTAGTAGAGATGGGGTTTCCTTCATGTTGGTCGGGCTTCTCTCGAATTCCCGACCTCAGGTGATCCACCTGCCTTGGCCTCCCAAAGTGCTGGGATTACAGGGGTAAGCCACCATGCCCAGCCAAGGATAATATGTTTTGATTAGGTAATTTGTTTTTGAAATACACCATTCAACTTACATGTTTTATAGAAAATGAGATTCAAAATTGGGTTTCTCAATAAAGACAGACCATAAATTCATAATTGTGGTTTTTTCCCATTTCCTTTATTTCACTGTAGAAAAAAATTCAACTACACTATTTTAGGAACTGGCTGGAATCTTTTATTTATTTTTATTTTTTTTGAGACAGTCTCGCTCTGTCCCCAGGCTGGAGTGCAGTGGTGCATATCCTCGTATGCATATCCTTTAGCCCGGAAAATCAACATTTTTTTTTTTTTTTGAGACAGAGTCTCACTCTGTTGCCAAGGCTGGAGTGTAGTGATGTGATCTCCGCTCACTGCAACCTCCGCCACCCAGATTCAAGTGATTCTCCTGCCTCAGCCTCCCCAGTAGCTGGGACAACAGGCACGTGCCACCACGCCCAGCTAATTTTTACATTTTTAGTAGAGACAAGGTTTCACCATATTGGCCAGGATGATCTCGATCTCTTGACTTTGTGATCCGCCTGCCTAAGCCTTCCAAAGTGCTGAGATTATAGGCATGAGCCACCGCACCTGGCCTGGAGTCTTAAAACACTAAGAATATTGAAAAGGGACCATGCATTTTTCCTTCCTTGGTACTATACATAGTAGATGCTCAATAAACATTTTTTGATAATTTGAGATACCCATTATGTATACATACAAGAAAAGAATCCTTTTTATTTACAATAAAATTTACAGTATAAAAATATATTAACATGTTCTAACATGTCTAGGCTTTGAAATTATCTGTGCAAATGTTACATTCAAAAGTTCAGATAGATTAACAATGGAAGAAGATCATAATAATTAGTCTGAACTAGTGCTTCATTTACTGCTGAATATTGATATTATACATGTCATCCTTTTTATCTATTGCCCTAACTAGCTGACATTTTGCTAGAGTGATAAAAAATTAATAGCTGAAATAAATAGTAACAAGTGAGAGAATTTAAAGGAAGCAATTAAATAAGAAGACATAATAGTGGGTCACTCTATTTTTTGAGTTGCATTTGGAAAGTCAATCACAGCAAAAATAAAGTGGACACCAAGACAAGCACATGGTACTTACTCGACTACAGTGCTCCAAGAGCGCAACAATGCTGGCTTCTATCTGTGCCTTTCGTTCCAGTTCCTGATTCTTTGTTTCCTCAAAAGTCTCAATAAAAGCTGACAATTGGAAAACATAAGAGATGTTACTGTTGATAAGAGTTAACACTATAAAAACTCTGATTTGTAGGTCTTAAGAGTGCTTTTTAGAAATTTTAAGCTACAACTGTTTAATTTGTTATTAACCCAAAGGTCGTTATTCAATAAGAACTTCACATACTTTCAAACTGCCTAACTTCTGTGACCTTGATATAAGTAAATCACAAAGTTATAAATATACAGTCAAAAGAAATAGCTGATAAAATAATCAGAAGAAATTTATAAGGATCTCCTTTGATACATCAATAATTATTAACCCTCTGGCTACTAACTTTATTTTTAAAATTTCCATTGCTGAATACCTATTTTATCTGAAAATGAGTATTTTATTTATAATGCTGGATTAGTTTCAGCTAAATAAATTCAATAATTTATTCAGATTGTAAATATTCTAGGAAATCATCTTTTTACTTGTTTAATATAGAACCAGCTCTTATTTACATTTTCAAGTATTTCTATGGAGTATCTAAAAAACAGAAGATTTCAGTCAAAAATAATTTTATTGACAGCATGAAATAAATGTCAATAGCTTGCCTTCTGCAATGGATTTCCATTATCCTTTTTCCTTATACTTAGTATATTTTTAAATTGAAACAGTCTTCCAACAAAACATTATTTGAATACGGTGGTAGAGGACCACAATCAGCAGTTTTTATAAAATGGAATTTTTTTTTTTTTTGAGACAAAGTCTTGCTATATCCCCCAGGCTGGAGTGCAGTGGCTGAATTTAGGCTCACTGCAACCACAGCCTCCTGAGTTCAAGCAATTCTTCTGCCTCTGCCTCCCGAGTAGCTGAGACTACAGGCACATGCCACCACATCCGGCTAACTTTTTGTATTTTTAGTAGAGATGGGGTTTCACTGTGCTAGCCAAGATGGTCTTGATCTCCTGACCTTGTGGTCCACCCGTCTTGGCCTCCCAAATAAAACTGATTTTTCTTTAATGTCCTGCTTCAGCATTCATACAGGTCTTATGTGTGAATGTCCTGCTTTCATAACCTGCTGATCATACATTAAGCAGCCATATGAGATTTTTATATATACAAAGGCATAAATGAACATTGTTTTTCAGGGGTTATTTTTTTAAGGAAAACAAACCATAATACATAGAAATCTGAGATACATGACCTTCTATTTTAAGATTCTGTAGTATAGGAATTCTTTCAAATTATTCAGTAAACTTTCATCAAATGAACATTTATTGACACCTAAGTGCCAGATACCATACCGGGTAGTATCCAGTAATTTCCAGTGCTGTGGTGTCATGACACATAGTTCCTTGATTTTACACCTTTCTCCTTTACCGAAAGACTTAAAAATATTTTTTTTGAGATAATTTTTGGTATTTGCTGACATGTTAAAGAAATCTTGGTAAACAGTGAAATAAGAGCTGACAATTACTGTTTTATATATAGCATGTCTTCATGAAGGTAACTATTGACATAAGACCTAGATGAAATTCTAGCACTTTGCTAGAATTCAGATTCTAGCAAAATGCTAAAAGTAATAGATAATACATGCCAATTTTTTAAAAAAAGTATAAATATATAATATAAGTTTAAGTAAAAATCAATTTATAAAGTCAGGCTGAGTCACTTTTTTAAGTGAATCAAAAACTGTAACAAAAGGCGACTAAAATTACAGCTGTTACTAGAACAAAGTGACAATATCTGACATGAGGGCTAATAAATGAGATAAGCATTATGGAAAGCTAAAAATAAAAGTGAAAGATACTAAAGGTGAATATCGTGAAACATGTAAAAGAGAACATTCAATCAATAAATTGATGTCTACAGCATCAGTCCCTAACCATTTTGGCACTAGGGATACCATGGAAGACAATTTTTCTATGGAACAAAGCCAGGGAGCAGATGCAGGTGATGGTTTTGGGATGAAACTGTTCCACCTCAGATCATCAGGCATTAGTTAGATTCTCATAAGGAAAGTGCAACCTAGATCCCTCGCATGCGATAGAGTTCACACTCCTCTGAGAATCTAATGCTGCTACAGATCAGCAATCTAACTGGTATGCGGACTGGTTCCTACTGGTCTGCAGCCTGGGGGTTGGGGACCCCTGGTCTGTAGGCTTCCTCTATACAGACTTCGAAGTACTAGCTTTAGAATCTAGCCCCAGTGTATAGACACTCATTACATATCTTTTTAGAATTTTCTACCCATCTCTAAATTATGCTAGAAATTATTCTTCAAGGCAAAATGCTTTGAATGTCCACGCTTCTGTATTTATTAGCCATTATAGCTGCCTAAAATGAGGACTCTGATTTGGTATAAATGAACAGCAATCTGAAAATATAATATTTTAATATCTATACAAATATCACTTACTGTCCATATTTTCCTCCCTTTTTCTTAGCTCCTTGTATTTCTGGTTCATTTCACCTATGAGAGATATAAAATACAACATTAATTTCAAAAATTCCACATACAGTACTCTAAATTAAAAATATCTCTTTGGTTCTCTCTATGCCATTAGTCATTGACTACTCAATGTTTTCCTTTAGGTGAAATTCTTTTTCATTGACTTACAGAGACTTTCAAAGTAGACATATGCATGTGCCTTGAATATGTGGAAAAAAAATGATTTGATTGGAAAGGACTTAAAGGCTTTCCATTCCAAACCTGGCGCTATTCAGCCTACACATGAACACTATGGGTGCTGAGAAACATAAGTTGCCAAGAAAGTCCATTCCATCTCTGAAAGATTACCAGCAAGACAGCAGAGTAACTTCATTCATGGAGTTTATACTCTAAAGATTTAACAATTAATTAAAATTAAAAGGTATTAAGCGCCATCATAAGAAGAATAAAAGATGCTATAGGAGCACACAGCAATGGCAACTAAGCTAGTTGAGGGTTACAGAGAAAGTTTCCCCAAATAAGGAATATTCAAGTTGCATTATAAAGAATAGTAGGAGTTACCTGGTCAAAATATAGAAGCTGCAATGTCAAAGCATTAGCAGTAAAAAGTTTCAAAGTGACGATGAATATGGTAGCATAAGGAACTGAGGGAGTGGTATGGCCAAGGCAGAGAATGAAGTGAAAAAGTGTCACAAAAATAAGGCAAATTATGAAGAACCTTGTAAGATCCATGTTAAAGAGTTTGGACTTTCTCGACCGGGCGCAATGGCTCACACCTGTAATCTCAGCACTTTGGGAGGCTGAGGCAGGTGGATTATGAGGTCAGGAGTTCAAGACCAGCCTGGCCAAAATGGTGAAACCCCATCTCCACTAAAAATACAAAAATGAGCCAGGTGTGGTGGCATAAGACTGTAATCCCAGCTACTCAGAAGGCTGAGGCAGAGAATTGCTTAAACCTGGCAGGCAGAAGTTGCTGTGAGCAGAGATCTGGCCAGTGTACTCCAGCCTGGGCGACAGAATGAGACTCTGTCTCAAAAAAAAGAAAAAAAAAAAAAGTTTGGACTGTAGCAGGAGCAGCAGAGAGCAAACCTCTCCAACACCAAACTGAGGAAGGAAGTGGTTTTTTATTCGGCCAGGAGCTACAGCAGGCAACAGCCTCATTCACCGAGTTCCCCGAGCTGCAGCTTCTCTCCCCTTTTATAGGCTTACAACGCTAAAGGGGAAACTGAGGCGGAACTATGTTATTGTCTATTTGCTGGACGTCGGACCTTACAATCTTTTGTTTTCAATGATTTGCTAATTCATATGCAGCGTGAGCGGGGACCAGCAAGGGAGAGGGGCTTACAGAGACAAGACAAAAGCAACAAGCTGTTTACTGGCAGAGGTGTTTCCAGGAGGGAACCTGGTTTGTGGAAACGTGGGGGCGTGAACCAGTGCCAGGCTCCAGCCGGCAGAGATAGCATTCATGTGCAGCTCTTTCAAGGTTAACAGATAGCAGAGACGCTGGGAACAAAAGAGGGAGTCATTTTCCCAGCTCTTTGGTATTTTATTTCATTTTTTTTTCCTTCTTCACTCTCCTTCCCATCTGGAAAGGGGGGAAGATATGAAATTGAAGGAGATGAGGGCGTCTCCCCTCTCAGGACTTTCTCCTAAGGACAATTACTAAATACTTTTGAGCAGGGAAATGAAATAATCCATTTACATTTTTGAAAAATATATCTGATCTCAAGAATAAAAGAGAAGTAAGATTGGAGGCAATAAAACTAGTTAGAAAGTTGTCATAATAATCTGGATGAAAGATGAAAGCTGCCTGGAGTAGACTGGTGGTAATTAGGACAGAAGGTAGTGAATTATTATTTGTGACATTTAAGAGCCTGAGTGAATGGATTTTGGTTAGGGTTAAACAGGGAGGAATCAAGTATGATTCCCAGGCTTCTGACTTGGCCATCTGAGAAAATGGCAGCATGATTAACCTATATAAGAAAAAAGTTGAGATCAAGAGTTGCTTACAGCAGTTTTGGGCATGTTGATTTTAACAGACATAAAAAGCATATCTAAAGGGACAAAAATCCAAGGCCCGGAAAAATGAATGAATTCTGCCATTTTTAGCCTCACAAAGGGACCATTAGTAGGAGTGGATCATGACTATTTTATGACAATAGGATTTCACTGTAACAAAAACTAAGTATGAAGATACATGGCTGCCGCCTTCTGTAGAGAAAGCAGAGACATGAACCTCCATCTGTACACATACTTGCTAGGTGTTAAGTGAATTATGAGAACACAAGGGTGATGGCAAAGTCACAGACCTGGATTAGCAAACAGCTTTTCTGCCTTCTGGTCTAAAAAGTTTTCTGAAATTCACTGATGACAACACTGATACTGAGAAAATCTTATGTCAATGACACTGGAACCACTTAGGCTCTAGATGCATTAGCAACTTTACTGAACTACTACTCAGTTCAAATTATCAATGATGGTCTCAAAACACACTAATGCACTATGATTAACTGTGAAGAGGAAGCAAGAGGTAATCTGCTATTAATTAAACTTTGTGTGTTAATTAATAACAGATTACGGTAATCTTATTAATTAACACAAAGTTTAATTAATAACAGATTAATTGTAAAAATATACTACATATTGTAAAAATATACTACATACACACATTGTAAAAATATACTACAGACAGATTTTTGAGTGGGAAACAAAGAGTTGGAGTTTGTAGCACACATGATCTGAGATACCCTTATAGGAGGAAGATGCACACATAAATATTATATTGCACACATGAAGTGGCAGAAAAGCTACTATCTTCTGAACCTGCCATGGCCCATGTTTCTAATAAAGTCCTAGTTCCTTGTTCTGGCTTTAAGTTCCACTCTTGGGAGACTGGTCAGGCATTAAGGGATTACGAGGGAGGCCAGGATCCTAGACTTCACAAGGATATAACTACCATCTTATCTTTCTTCTTTTAATCTTAAGAGAATTCCTACACATGATGTTGCCAGTTTGTCATTTTGCTTTAATAAGGCTTTTCCTCCTCCTATTCTAATGAAATTGTTCTCAATAAAATTATATGACTCCTTAATGATCAAATCCAAAGGGCAGTTTTCAGTTATCTTACTCTGCAATATTTGACACTATTGATACAACCTTTCAAATTTCTCTGATTTCCTTTATGTTTTATTTTTGCTTTTGGGGGGGATGGGGTGGCGGAGCTTCTCTCACTTTTTTTACTCTCAGATCATTATTTTTCTGTCTTCATGGGTCTGCTTTCTTCTTCATTTAAATTCTGAGTTTTATTCTTAATGAACATCTAATGCTTTATTATATGCATGGCGATTGCATACATTCTTGTGATTTAAGAACTCTCAAATTTAATCTTTTCTCTGATTTTTAGATTCTTTAATCTAAATGCTTACTATATATATTCATTTGGAAACACTGTCAGGATATCCTGAAACTCAGTATATTCATAATTAAACTCATACTTTCCCTTTTTTATTCCCTATTATATTTGGCTGTCCTCACCATCCATTCATCATTCAAGTCAGAAACCTGAGAGGAGACTCCACCCTCCTTCCCTTCTCAAATTCATCCTCCTAGCTGCCAACAGATTGAGCTGGAAGACATATCTGGTTAACATTCACAGCTGCACAGCTGGCCAGCTGGATTAGGTGGGATAGAGCTCCCACATATCTCAGCAGATACCCAAGCTTCATAAGACTTCTTCCAATGTCACTGTTAAGAAGGAGAGTGGTCAGAGCATTAGTGAACTTCTCTATTTTGTGGTTTCTCAGTGAAGGATTAATATCTGAGTTGCCCATAAAGGCCATGTAGATGTAGGCAGTCCTAAGGTAGGGTAAAACATAATGGTTGTTACCAAATCTATCCTTAGATTCAATATTACAGTGCAGGACAAGATTGTAGATGGAAGGAAGCAAAATCAATGTTATCACAATGAAATTGCAAGTAGGTAAGCAGAAGAGTCTAATGCAGTAGAATCAACAATGAGGAGACCAAGGGAGAGGGAAAGGGACACAATGGTATAAGAAAGTTAATTCTGGAGATCTCCTTGAATTTGGAGCATTTGATGTGAGCATAGTTCTACACTCATTTATTTATTTCATATAAATTTACTGATTATTTACTATGTGCCAGATAATGTAACAGGTGTTGGGATATCAAACTGAGTAAGACAGTTTCCACCCTATTCTCAAAGGGCTTACATTTCATTAGGTGTACAAAAACAAAAATTTACCATGCAACATAAGTGCTCTAACAGGTATGTATGACGTGCTGTGGTAGCCAGATGCATGAAAATAGTTCAGGAGGACTTTACACAGGAATTATCATACCGGCAAGGTACTTTATCAGGTAACATGGGAATTTAAAAAAAAAAGAGTAAAATATTTTCTTTTAAAGAATTTATACTCTAATAGAAAAGTACACAAAAATGTATACTCTAAATTCAGGCTTTTCTCCTCTCGAGTAGGAAAGAAGAAGAAGAAATGAGTATGGACTGTTACAAAAAGACTGGGGCTACATTAGAAAGGACACCGTTGCTTTTTGATAGTCTCTGCTATAGCCAGCAGTGGAGTAAGGAAGATAGGTTCTTCTTCCACTGCCAATAGGCTGAGCACCACCACAACTACCTCTGTCCTCACTGCAAGGAATTTCACCCAACACTTTTACTTCTCTGGCATCAAATGATGTTCTCCTAATTCAGGCTTTATAGGCTTTTATACTTTGAGAAGTAGTTCTGCCCCTACAGAAGGTCTGCTTAATATTTCCAAAATAGGCAGCTATTCCAATCTTCCCTCCTGATCAATATACAAGCATGTACTAGTGACTCCCCTGGCCTCAAGGCTCCCAACTCAGCAAGACTACTGATTTTGGAGTTGAGAGGTCAACAACAAAGAAAATCAGGGAGATGGGGCAAGACTTTTGCACATCCAGATTGTTTCTTAGCACTTGGGGTATTTGGGAAACAGGTAGTCTCCCAGTTCGTTCGTTCG